ATTTATGAGATTGGTCCCCATGTGATTGGAAATAGACAATTCAGATGTTAAAATCGTTGACGACTTTCACGTCATATATGGACCTAATATCATAGCAACAAATCAGTTGGGGGAGTTAAAACATCAGGTTCTAAAGTTGGGAGCGGTTTTCAAGTTATCTAAAAGATTAAGGAGTTATTTTCACACTATCTAAAACGTTACGAACTTAACCGTTGTTTTGCCAAAAGAGAAAAATATAACTTCCAATTAATAGAGAGTTAAATTCATCAATGACCATCCAACTTCATATTTAGGGCCTATTAGGCCCTGTTCTCTTTATCGTTTTCGGGTCGTTTTCTGTTTTCGATTTTTCAAAACGGTGAAAACGTGTTCTCTTTCCCGCGTAATATCATAGCAACAAATCAGTTGGGGGAGTTAAAACATCAGGTTCTAAAGTTGGGAGCGGTTTTCAAGTTATCTAAAAGATTAAGGAGTTATTTTCACACTATCTAAAACGTTACGAACTTAACCGTAGTTTTGCCTAAAGAGAAAAATATAACTTCCAATTAATAGAGAGTTAAATTCATCAATGATCATCAAACTTCATATTTAGGGCTCGTTATCTAATGATTTTGAGAATTGATTTTTTGACCGTTAAAAAAAAAATGGAGGCCATATGTGAATGAAGAAATCGAAAATGACGGTTGAAATAATGAAATAACGATAAAAAATCAATTTTTTGGGTGAAAAAACACTACCAAACGAGGCCTTAATGTTACGTTGACCACCCAATTTGATTATGTTCACGTTGACCACCCAACTTCATATTTAGTGTCACATTAACACTTAATTCGATTTTTTTTTCCATCATGGTCACTGTTGCTTTTTTCTTTTCTTTTTTTTAAGGGTCATAAGTGTACGATATCGTAATAAGTAATATAATGGACCTTTGAATCAGGATTACGTTCCACGAGGACTATATTTAATACTTAATTTGATATTTTTAACCCTTATTTAATGAATGAAACAAATATGATTGTTATTATTGTTGTTCTAATTAAACTTAACTAAAGAAAATAGCAATGTGAACATACCAATCGATTTAAAATTCAAATATGGAATGAGAAATTAGGGTATAACAATTTCATCTATTGATTAACAATAGGTATTAATTCAATGTTCAAATTTTCAATGTAGTATTCGATTGAATTCTTCTATTGTATTCAACTCATCACTCTCGATTTTTCATTAAATTTACATTCAATTCCATATCTCTATGTGAATCAATCTTAGTTAAATGAAATATTTATTCTAAGAATTCATATGACGACCACTATAACATAACATGCGTATCTCTACATGTTAAGTTAAATTACCAAAATTTAATATGTGGTTTAAATCTAAAATGCACCTCTCGATTCGAAATAGATTCACAAAATCATTGAATTAGTGATTAAATAATTCAAAGTATTAATCTCATAACAGAATCAATACATATATGATAACATAATAAAAATCTTAATAAAAGAAATAAAATGGTTTTGAATAGATTACATTATTCTCCCTAATATAAAATTTAGTTACTAATAATGTAAAAAAGAAAAGTAAGAGATTGTAATTGAATATATAACCGAATTTTGAATAAAAACGTAAAAAGAGATATTAATATTGCATTCACATCTTCTTTCTCTTCCAATCAATACTTCAAACCTTAATTTTTTTTATTTTTTTATTTTTTGATTTGAGCTCTTTAATCACCGATTATATGTTCTTCTTCTCAATGTGTTCGGCCCCTCAAGAGTGACATCATTCTTGTATTTATTTTCCCTTCATGTTTTTTCCAGCGCCACCTCTCGAGAAAACTCAGCACTGTAATACATGGCATCGCGGCACCACTTTCAGCAAAATTCAGCACTACACCTCCTTTAGTATTTTTATCATAACTTTCTTTTGCAATATTTATTCGAAGCAATTTAAATTGAGTTGTAAAGATCATTCAAAAGGGTTACATTTTACTAAGTAAATTC